TTAGCTTTTAAGTGGACTCAAAACTGGCTTGCGAAATTAAATATTTTAAAATGTATGGTCATGCACTTTAGCTTGAATAACAAAAAAAAACAATCCTTCATTTAACAAAAGTTAATCATGTAATAAAATGGGAAGTCAGCCAAATGTTTGTTCGGATTAGAAAATGCTTTATTCGTTAGATATTTGACTCCTGAGATTACTTTATGTTTCTTTTATGCGACAACTGTTAGAGTTTTCAGTCACCAAATTGAAAGTGTAAAATTGATTTATTGAAATAACTTTAACATTGCACAACTTAGTTAATACCATCACTTCGAAAGGGCGAAATTTATTTATTAGAAAGAGTTCAACATTGTACAACTTGTCTTCTGTCTTTTAATTAAGATTAAAAGGTTGTATTTTGTATGCCTCAATTTTTTTAAAAGTAGTTTTTTTTTTAAAATTTGAAACTCATGTTGTTGGCCCTCTTAGTGAAAGTCTAGAGGAGTGTCCCCAAAAATTTACTAATAATTAGTTTATCATTAATAGAAAAGTTTCACTCGAAAAATAATGAATAATAAACTACAACAACAAAATTGACAACTACTGACTTCAACAAAAAATGAAAATATTCTCATAAAACAACTTGTAGCAAAGTTTCACTCAAAACAACAAAGCAAAAGAATGTATATGGAATTAAGAATTGTAAAAAAAAGTTATAGATAGCAAAATAAATAAACAAATAATGATAACAATATTTGTAATGTAATAAAATATAGTTTGTAATCAAATATTAAAGTTTTAAATTTTAATGCCCAATTGAATGTATGAATAAAAATTTATATTTTTAATGCCCAATAAAATGTTTGCATGATAAATTGAACTTTTAATACCTAATGGAATATATGTAAAATTGTAGTATTTTTATGCATAAATAAAAATGATACTAAAAACAAATAAAAATGCTTTATGTTTATTTTTAGTATAAAATATTTTTCTTCATTATTATTTCAGCTTGATGATCAAGTAATTTCTGATCGAGCTACTGCATTAAAGTTGGATGCTCTTGTTACTTCCCATCCAATCTTTATTGAAGTTAACCATCCAGATGAAATCAGTGAGATTTTTGATGCAATCACTTATCAAAAGGTATAATTGAAATAACAATTTTTTTTGTCTACTTATAATTCAATTTCTTAAAAAATCACTTTGCAATAAATTTAAAAAAAAATTTTTTTCAATTTTTTATATTAATTCACCTCAACAAGAGTCAAGCGCCCTTTAATCGTGGTAAATTCCAAAAATTCAACCATGACAAATAAGGCTGCTGCTCATATTTAGGAACTAATTATAAATAATATTTATAATTAGTTCGTAAATATGAATCTATAAAAAAAAAAAAAATACTGTTTTTATGCAACCTACTGAAACAGTTCTTTAGCAAAACAACAATTTGAAAAAATGCATACTATTAAAATCTAAAATAAGCAAATTTTTAAAACAAATGATCAAATTTAATCTTAGTATTATTTATTAAGAATCATCAAATTAATTATATTTACAAAAAAAAATTATTAATTTTTGAAATTTAGCTACTTTTTTTATAAAAATTAGTGAAATTTTGAAATACTCTAACTTCACTCATTCACATATAAACAACGAAGGAGACAATTAGCAGTAATATTGTGAAATGTTGATAAGTGTTGCCAATATAAAATTACCTGTAATTTTATCTGTAAATTTAGAGTAAATTTTGACATTTTTAAAATGGATACCCACCATGATATTTTATTAGAATAAGAAATTTGTTCATAATTTCACAATTAACTGACGATTCTTTGAGTTTTAAAAAATATTAAGCTTGTGAGAAATAAAATTATAGATGCGTTGCGTATCTTGCGGCGATTGGTTGTGTGGATCTTGCTGTTCTACTATGGTCAATAATATGTGCAATAATTACCAACAAACATACAAAGCTTATTTAAAGCAAAGTAGTGTTTTTTGTTAATTAAAAAAACCTTTTTAAATTAATTGAAAAATTTATTTTAAACTTTATTAACCAATAGCGTAGCAAATGTGATAGTGGCCAAAGTAATAAAATAATTGACTAATTACAATAAAAATTAAAAGTACTACTACTTATATTTAAAAAGATCTTTTTTTTATGTGCTTTTTGTTTTCTTTGGTGCCCCAAAAGATTTTTTTTTTTTTATTGAGCCAGGGGTGACGACCTCCTAAATAACTGGTATTACCTGAATTTATATCATAATTTTACAATAAAACAACATTTAAAAATTAGTTTTCATTATTTGTGACATTAAGTTTGTGATAGGCTATTAATATTTATATAGTGGCTGAACTTATGAGATGGTATTGAAAATTATGTTTTCATTTTAATACTAGTTTTTTTTTTCATTTTTTTATTTTTACAATATTAATTATAAATATAATTTTTTGTATGTTTCAGGAAAAAAAATTAAAAAATTTTAATTATTTTTGCGTGATAAATAAATGTTCAAAGCATAAGTAGACGATTTTACATTATACAGTTACTAATTATAGTTAAAAGTTATGGCGAGTATGGTGGTTAGTTAATTGTTCCTTGTTGAAGTACTTGCTGTTGACTTGCTTTAATACGAGTATACTGACTTTTTTATAATGCAAGATTTTTGTCATCAGTTGACTGTTGTCAACAATCATCATCAGGCTATACTTGATGTTGATTGTTGACTACAGTCCTCTGCGGCATAATAAATTTAAACTTTTTGCTGTCTTTAAAGGTTTGCCATTGTTTTAAATGATGGATAAGGTTTTAGACTTAAGTTGAAATTACACACTTAGGTTCATAATGGCCTTAAAAAATAAATGTCTCATGATACTAATTCATAAAATTTTTTGTATTTAAATTGATTAGTTCATTTCTAAATAGTCATATGCCATGATTTGGGTTATAAGGTCAATAAATAAAGTATAATTTATTGTGGATGTTGTGAAAAGAATTTTCAGTTTATGGAAACCAAAATAAGCATCCATTGTATGTGTGCATGCAAAGTTTCTAAAATAAATTGTAATTTATTTATTTAAAATATAATTAAAAGCTCTTTATTTTAACACTATATTACATATTGTAATAAATAAATAAATAAATAAAAAAATTTTAATTAACATATTGTAATAAATAAATAAATAAAATATTTTTAATTAACAAAAATATTTCAATTTGTTTTAGGGTGGTTTTATTTTAAGAATGTTAAACAGGTTTCTTGGTGATGCTGATTTTCAGAAAGGAGTCAATGTAACTATTTATTGATTTGATTTGTATGATCAACTTTTAATATATTACTTAATATTGTTATTCTAAATATGAAAACTTGATTATATTTATATCATTTTATAACCATTATAGCGTTTAACAAATTTTATACACTTTTAAATTTAGGATCTTGAATATAGTTTCTTATTATAGAAAAAGGTCTCAAAAGCATTTAAGCAAGTTTTTATGTTGCTATTCATTTTTTACATCATTCATTATTTATGTTGTTAATCATTAATTACATATTTATTATTTTATCTTCTTCAAATAATCATTTTATTTGTTATAATATATATTATGTTTTATGTCACTTTAAGTTGTGTTACAATGACAATCTATGAAAATGTCAAAACAGTAATCATATTGAAAGATGGAGAGAGTTTTAAAGTAAAGGTTAATGTGCATTAGGGTTCACATCTTAGTTCTTTGCATTATAATATTGTTTTCAAAGTTCATTATTTGTTTGCAATGGGAGCATTCTATGTAGATCATTTATGGATTATGGATTAAAAAGAAATAAAAAATTAATACATAGATCTAAGTGTTAGAAAAAAGGAGAAGCTAAAAGGCCTGGGATAAAAAAGATCTAGAAGACAAATCTACAACAATCTAAGGTAAGCTTGAAAATAGATATAGAAGCTGAAGATGATAAACAAGAAAAAAATAGAAGTCACAAAACACTAGAATATGAAGTGTGAAGGAGAGGAAAGTTTAGGGCAAACTATAAACTTTATCTACTATATTATTCATTGATTAAGTTAAAAATTTGCATAATAAATTTATGGTTAAAGTATTTTATATCAATTTTATATAAAAGATAAATTTAAAGAAATTTAACATTTTTTAAATAGTTAACTTATTAATTTAGATTTATTTAAACAAAAATCTTTTTGGCAATGCAAAAACAAAAGATCTTTGGGATGCACTAAAAGAGGTAAATAAATTTTATGTTAGTAAAAAAATGATGCAATGTAAAAGGTTGCTAAGTTTTAACTTTGTTTATGAGTAAAGGAATTACTATTTAAATAGGAGTTATCAATATAATTAAGTTTGAGAATGTAAAAGAGAATATAAGAGAGAATATAAGCGAGAATATAAGAAAGAAAGTAAGAGAGAAAGTAAGAAAGAATGTAAGAGAGAATGTAAGAGAGAATGTAAAAGAGAATGTAAGAGAGAATGTAAGAGAGAATGTAAGAGAGAATATAAAAGAGAAAGTAAGAGAGAATGTAAGAGAGAATGTAAGAGAGAATGTAAGAGAAAATGTAAGAGAGAGTGTAAGAGAGAATGTAAGTGAAATTATAAGTAGTGTTTAAATTAAGAAATGTTTTGTGTTTAAGGACAATTTAAGGTTAATAATTTTTTTTTTTTGCTTGTTTGTTTTTTTGTTTATTTGTTTTATATTTATTGTATATTTCTCAACTAAGAAATACTGCAAAGCGTTTTCAAATTTTAATAAAATATTTTTTATTAAATTTTATATTTTTTAGTAGTTTTTGATATAGTTTATAGTTGTTTTATTGTGATTTTATTTCCAGGCATCTGGTGATAAATACAATGTATCTGAAATAATGGACACATGGACTCTTCAAATGGGTTTTCCAGTAGTGAGTGTCAAACCTATTTCAGGAGGCTTTGAGGTTACTCAATCTCGATTTTATGCAGACAGAAATCCAGAGTTAAAGAAATCTAAGTTTAATTCAACCTATGAGTGAGATTTTAAACTAGAAGTTTTTGTAATTGTTTTTATTATTTTAGACAAATTACTTTGAAAAAGAAATTAAAAATATTTAGAGATAATTTTGAAACATTAGCTACAAATATGAATTATAAAATTTATTTTTGTATTATTTATGACCGCAAAAAATATTAGTGCGAATTGAATAACAAAGCACAAAAGGGAAATCATATTAATTGTGTTAGAAGTTGATTGTGTTTTATATTGACTGAGTTTATATGTATCAAATTGATTGTTTTCATGTGTTCTATGTTGATTGAAGTCTAATAATATTTATTTTAACTCAGATAAAACTCAATTTTTCTTACCTAATCTATATATATATATATATAAATTTCTTAGATAATATATATTCATGTATAATATATATATATATATATATATATATATATATATATATATATATATATATATATATATATATATATATATATATATTATATATATATATATATATATATATATATATACATATATGTATATATATATATATATATATATATATATATATATATATATGTGTGTGTGTGTGTGTGTGTGTGTGTGTGTGTGTGTGTGTGTGTGTGTGTGTGTGTGTGTGTGTTTGTGTGTGTGTGTGTGTGTGTTTAGATAACATCTCTGATGTTGCACTTAAATAGCCTGCTGCCATAGGCTTCAGTACATGCATCAACTATCTTATAGCTGTTGCCACAAATGAATGCCACCACATCAACTGAGGGTTTGGAGTGGGGAACCAATCTTCAAAGCAAAAATGTATGCTTTGCTAGGCATGTTTAGGGAAGATGTTATACATTTGTAAATTATGTTTATCATTTTACAATATTTATTCAGCAATCAGATTTCTTTTTGTTTGCATGTGTAAGGGAGATTTTCAGTTGTGTTAATTGAATTTATTTTTTTGTTGTGACTTTTTATGATTTTTGAAATGTTGTTTGAGCAGCTGTAGCTAATTTTTGTAGTGTTTTGATTGAATAGTTTATGCAATTGGTTTGAAGGTGGGAAATGCTTATCTATTAATTGCAAAAAAATTTGGCCAACATCCTAATATTTGTAGACAAAACCATCAACATTTGCCAATAACCCCCTGAAGATTACTTTAAACTATTAAAAGAAAATATCACAAAAACATACAAAAAAGCACCTAAAAAACTAGAAAATTCAATCAACCTTGAAGCAAAAAGCATATCAAATAAACTAAATATAAACAAACAAATCAATATATTTGCCAAATCACAAGCATTAATTACATTAAAAGACCACAAAAACAACTTTGAAAAACAAAAACCTTGCTGCCTGTTAAATCTAACAAAAAGTGAACTCAGCGTTGTCAGCAAAACATTCCTAGATAAAATTAACAAGGAATTAAAAAGGAATTTGTATGAAGAAAGATTAAAGATGCTTAAATTGCCAACTTTGCATGATAGAAGAAGAGGTGATCTCATTCAAATGTATAAGATCTCAAAAGGAAAAGATATTGTTAATTTTCACCACGCTCCATTAAATTTTGTGCTGGAACGATCAAGTAGAAGTAACAATTGTAGAATACGCAGACAGTTTACCAATTTGAGAATTCGTCACCTTTTCTTCACAAACAGAGTTACAAACGATTGGAATTCTCTTCCTCAATGGATAATAGATAAAGATAACTTAAACTTTTTTAAAAACAGCATTAATAATTATTTTGGTTTCTGAACACTATATTTTCCAATTGCCTGTCATAGTCTTAATTCTACGTAATTAAGACTCAACACATTTTTTTTTTTTTTTTTGCATTTTTGCGTCACCCCATTATATATTTATATATATATATATATATATATATATATATATATATATATATATATATATATATATATATATATATATATATATATATATATATATATATATATATATTTATATATATATATATATATATATATATATATATATATATATATATATATATATATGTATATATATATATATATATATATGTATATATATATATATATATATATATATATATATATATATATATATATATATATATATATATATATATATATATATATATATATATATATATATATATATATATATATATATATATATATATATATATATATATATATATATTATATATATATATATTAGATTGACCCAAAAATGCAAAAAAAAAAAAATTAGCTAAGGTGTTCTATGGATTTTGCTATATATCATTTACCTGTTCAAGCTTATGTAACAGAGGAAATAGTTGATTAATGCTGATATACAATAAAAACACTTTTGTTTGTTTCTATTTATATTATTTTATTCATAATCATATTGATAAACCCCACCGACTCCTCTGCCCCTTTATCCTTACTCTAAGTCTGAGGATCCCACTACCCCACCATTACTACTGTCTGCCATTAAGTTCTTATTATATTATTACTCAATACGCTTAAATGTACAGTTTATTAATTTTTATATTTAACTTTATAAATATTTAAATCAGTTCTTTGTTCAAACATTTGAATATTTGAAAAATGGGAAAAGCTAAAGCTAAAAAAGGAGCTGTAAATCAATTACAACCCAAGAAGACCTGTCTATCTTCTCAAAACTCCACTGAGCTCTACTTTTTTTTTTTTTTTTTGTTTTTTTATTTGCATTCACTCCCAACAAGACTGCAAGCAACCACTATTAAGTTGGGAGTTACTAGGAAAAAAAAAAAGAACAGAGTTATAGAGCAAGGAAACGGTTGACAGAAGACTTGAAAAGTTGAAGGTTGTATGAGTGAGGAAAACATGAAGATGGGAGAGAGTTCCAAAGGATTGAAGTGCGGGGAAAAAAACTAGATGAATAAAAGTTTTTAGAGCATGCAGGGACAGATACAGTAAATGAATGAGACTTAGCTGAATGACGAGTAAAACGAGAATGAATTTTAGTTGATGGAACTAGAGATGATAACTCCTTTGAGCAGTGACCATGATAGTATCTGTAGAAAAGAGAAAGAGATGCAACTTTACGACGATGGGAAAGAGGTTCAAGCTTAGCAGATAGTCCAGGTCCAACAACATTTACAATGCGTTTTTGGACCTTGTCAAGAAGAGAAAGTGAATCGTTAGAAGAACCAGCCCAAATATGACAGTATTCCATACAGGGACGAATAAGAGATTTGTAGAGGTAGAGAATGGAATCAGAAGTAAGGAAATGGCGAGCACGATAAAGAGAAGCAACCTTAGCAGAAGCTAATTTAGCAATCGATTGTATATATGGTTTCCATGAAAGGTCAGTAGTAAGCGATAATCCAAGAAGACGTAAAGAGGACGACTCAGTAAGAGGATTGCCATTCATTAATATAGGAATGTTGAACATATTACGGTAGTTGTTTGCAGTAAGCAATTGGGTTTTTTTAGAGTTGAAATTCACAAGCCACTGTGAACCCCAATCTATTACTGAAGTGAGATCAGATTCAAGATCAGCTGCTTGTTCTAGGCGATCGAAAAGAGAAGACTTTTTGTCAAGACAGGAGTATAAAGTTGAGTCATCAGCAAAAAGAGCTACTTTAGATGAAAGGTTGTCAGAAAGGTCATTTATGTAGATAAGAAACAAAACAGGGCCCAGGATGGAACCTTGGTGAACCCCAGAAGTTACTGGAAATAAAGAAGAGTGTTGGCCTTCAAGGATGACTTAAATAAACCAATTAGAAAGAAATGATTTGATAATCTCAAAAACTTTCCCAGAAACACCATATGAAACAAGCTTATGGAGAAGACCAGCATGCCAAACTTTGTCGAAAGCTTTAGATATGTCGAGAGCAACCGCCCTAGCCTCACCGCCTCCATCTAATGCACGATAAAATCTTTCAGTTACAGCAGTTAGCAAGTCGGCCGTAGAGCGAGAGGATCGAAAACCGTATTGATTGTCTGACAGCAGTTTATTTGACTCAAGATGAGATGTGAGGAATTTGTTGATCAAAGACTCAAAGACCTTGCTAATAACAGAAAGAAGACTGATCGGACGATAATTGGAGGGGTCAGAATTTTCTCCAGAGTTTTTGAATATTGGAACCACAGATGCCATTTTCCAACAAGCAGGAAAACAAGACTCAGTCAAACACTTGTTAAATAGTTTAGAGAGAATTGAAGAAAGTTCTGGAGAACAATTCTGCAAGACTGTGACAGGAATGTTGTCTGGACCACAAGCTGTAGACGAGTTTAATTGAGACATGACTTTAGCAACAGAAGCCGGAGTGATTTGAATGTCTAACAATGGGTCAACCTGTTTGACTGGAATGGAAGGAAGAGAATGTCCATAAGATTCAAGAGTGGAATTAGAAGAAAAGTTCTTTGCAAATAGTTCTGCCTTATCCTTGGGAGAGGTAATAAGATCAGTCCCATGAATGAGAGATGGAATGTTAGATCTACCCTTGTTAACAATGCTGTTGAAGATTTTCCAAAAGTCTTTAGAGCCTAACTTCTGTGATAAGATGCGAGATTTAGTGAACTGAGAATAATGGAGTTTAGCATCAGAAAGTACCTTTTTATATCGATTTCTTGCAATAATAAAAAGCCGTTTGTTCTCAAGAGAGTTGTTCTTTTGAAAAAGATGAAAAAAATGATTACGATTGGATATAGCAGCCGCACAAGAAGGAGAAAACCATGGAGTAGAATGAGGCTTGACTTGAAACCGACGAGAAGGAATAAAAGCTTCCATTCCAGCCTGAATCCAGGAGGTTACGTAGGAGGCGCATTTGTCAGCTGAGAGAGAAAAAACATCAGCCCAAGGACCATCACGAAGAAAATCACAAAAGGAATCCCAGTCAGCTTTAGGGTTGTAGTAGGTGGTGCGATGATAAGGTGAGCCCAAAAAAGAAGTATGAGAAGAAAGATTTATAGAGATCATTGCATGGTCAGAACCACCTAAGGGAGAAAAGGGGGAAACTGAACATAAGCTAGGGTCAGAGACAAGACATAAGTCAAGGAGTGAAGTTAAATGATAAGGTTGTC